TTTAAGCATTAATGAATGGTGTAATTTTAAGAACCAATGAATGGTGTAATTTTAAGAACCAATGAATGGTGTAATTTAAGAACTAATTAACGGTGTAATTTTAAGAAATTATAAATGAAGTGTAATTTCAAGAACTAATGAATGGTGTAATTTTAAGAACTAATGAAGTGTAATTTTAAGAACTAACGAAGTGTAATTTTAAGAACCAATGAATGGTGTAATTTTAAGAAATTATAAATGAAGTGTAATTTCAAGAACTAATGAATGAAAGCAAAGAAGAATATATTGTAACATGTCAACCACATTACACCCGCCATATCTAGTGCCGACAAGGCCTTTCGACCAATACCAGTACTCATCAGGCCGGTTGGGATACGACAGACATAGTAGTAGTAGTGGTATAGGCGCTATTTATATCATCAATTTCATTGCATTGGATTAAGTAACTTAACTGTAGTTATTACCGTAATCTTAGGGTAAGGATTAATAACATTATTATTTAGTTAACTTATGTACGATATACGCTAGACACGCCTACCACGTGTCACGTGGGTTTATCTTCTCTGAAGTTTTGTTCTTGTTTTATCGAGTGTTTGTTTGTTATTATGCACAAAGATGCACAATGGGGTTGACTGGGCTGTGCCCACCTCGAGCATCGAACACCATATTTTAATGATATATTCCGCCGAGACACTTAGGGGGTTTATTGAGTTGATTCAAAATCCCCGTCACTGAGCATGCTCGCTCTTTCATCTATGAGGGCGTTATAATGTTACGGCCACTCCCCTGTATCCGTTGGTAAAAGAGTAGCCCAAGAATTGGCGGTGGGTGGTGTTGACTAGCTGCCTGCCCTCTAGTCTATCACTACTAAATTAGGGACGACCAGCGCAGGTAGCTCTCGAGTATCTTTGTGCAAAAACCAAACCACTCCAACTCCGTACAGTAAATAACCACAGAGTTCGACTCTCGGCTCTAAACGTCGTGGTTTCTTAGTCATTTGCGGAATTTTTACGGCAGCGAGTTTTTGTAGAGCATCAGAAGTCCTTGTAAACACGGTACACAGCTTGTGCTTCCATGGATGTATCAGTATGAAAGCATACGGGAACATAACAAATTAACACCATGCGGTTGCTACAAGACATTGTCGAGTAGACAAAAGTCAGATACAAAATACCCTGTATCCTGATGAAATAAAACTGTTAACTGTACTGGTGCTGGCTGATTGAAAAACCACACAGCAAAAGTAACAGTGTAGTGTTTTGCGCGCATCTACACGTGTAGTAATGGCTTGTGTGCTGGAAGGTCAAATAATAATTAACATTAAGTTATTAGCAAATATACCAGAGAATGTCGAGTTTAAAAGTAATGTTATAAATTGGGGTACGGGCCGCCCCTTTCCACTATTTCGAGCCGTAGCACACGGGCCATTCTTCCCATGCGAAGATACCAGTGCTATGCAAGGCGTTAAACGTCACATTTGTTTGGCTCGGCTTTACGTATTTTGCTACCGAATTCGCCGATCATTTTGAGCCCTCAATCGCGGCATTAGGACGGCAAAATTAAAATTCAAGCCGTTCTTCCGACTGCTGATGCGTATAAACTCGATCTTGGTTTATTCTTCCAAAACTACTTTGGATAGTTTCTCACAAGAACATAGGTGGAATTGCATTTTTTTTCTCTGTCGTGTAATAAGATGTTTTTGCTCGAGATGGTCATATTTTATTCGAGGGGAGTGCAGGTCATCGAGATGAGCATTATGAGTGTGTATAATGTAATACTCATAAATCAGAATTATAAATACATAAACATTATATGGTGATTAAAAACACGTTTATTTGATAAACCGTATGTTTGTTACTTCGGTGATATAAAAAGACTACCTTTTCAAAATAGTCACTTCAATGTTATGACGCGTAACAATACGTTGTTTTGATTACTAAACCTTGCTCAAACTAACTAAATGAACACGTTTCTCGGCGTTAATTTTTCTTCTTGCTAGTACTAAACAGTCCATAAACACTACGCACAGACTTACTGTACACGTGTTATTCCCAGATTGTATGTAAGAAAGAAGAGAAATTAATTAGGTCTAGAAATGGGGAGAACATTAAAAATTAAATGTACGTGAAGTGTAACTATGAGGAAGAAAGTAGGGTTACGTGAGTTAGTATTCATTAGTTGTATTTAGATAGAAGAAAGTATTATTGCTAAGTTAATGATTGTTAAGTTGTATTTAGATAGAAGAAAGTATTATTGCTGAACTATTATTGTTAAGTTGTATTCAGATAAAATAAAGTATTATTGCTAAGTTAATGATTGTTACGTTGTATTTAGATAGAAGAAAGTATTATTGCTAAGTTAATGGTTGTTAAGTTGTATTTAGATAGAAGAAAGTATTGTTGCTAAATTAATGATTGTTACGTTGTATTTAGATAGAAGAAAGTATTATTGCTAAGTTCATGATTGTTAAGCTGTATTTAGATAGAAGAAAGTATTATTGCTAAGTTAATGATTGTTACGTTGTATTTAAATAGAAGAAAGTATTATTGCTAAGTTAATGATTGTTACGTTGTATTTAGATAGAATAAAGTATTATTGCTAAGTTAATGATTGTTAAGTTGTATTTAGATAGAAGAAAGTATTATCATTATTGCTAAGTTAATGATTGTTAAGTTGTATTTAGATAGAATAAAGTATTATTGCTAAGTTAATGATTGTTACGTTGTATTTAGATAGAAGAAAGTATTATTGCTAAGTTAATGATTGTTAAGTTGTATTTAAATAGAAGAAAGTATTATTGCTAAGTTAATGATTGTTAAGTTGTATTTAGATAGAAGAAAGTATTGTTGCTAAGTTAATGATTGTTAAGTTGTATTTAGATAGAAGAAAGTATTATTGCTAAGTTAATGATTGTTAAGTTGTATTTAGATAGAAGAAAGTATTGTTGCTAAGTTAATGATTGTTACGTTGTATTTAGATAGAAGAAAGTATTATTGCTAAGTTAATGATTGTTACGTTGTATTTAGATAGAAGAAAGTATTGTTGCTAAGTTAATGATTGTTACGTTGTATTTAGATAAAATAAAGTATTATTGCTAAGTTAATGATTGTTAAGTTGTATTTAGATAGAAGAAAGTATTATTGCTAAGTTAATGATTGTTAAGTTGTATTTAGATAGAAGAAAGTATTATTGCTAAGTTAATGATTGTTACGTTGTATTTAAATAGAAGAGAGTATTATTGCTAAGTTCATGATTGTTAAGTTGTATTTAGATGGTAGAAAGTATTATTGCTAAGTTAATGATTGTTACGTTGTATTTAAATAGAAGAAAGTATTATTGCTAAGTTCATGATTGTTAAGTTGTATTTAGATAGAAGAAAGTATTATTGCTAAGTTAATGATTGTTACGTTGTATTTAGATAGAATAAAGTATTATTGCTAAGTTAATGATTGTTACGTTGTATTTAAATAGAAGAAAGTATTATTGCTAAGTTAATGATTGTTACGTTGTATTTAGATAGAATAAAGTATTATTGCTAAGTTAATGATTGTTACGTTGTATTTAGATAGAAGAAAGTATTATTGGTAAGTTAATGATTGTTACGTTGTATTTAA